GTATATATATACTTTTTTTTTTTAAACTGAGGGACTTGCCCAAAGTCACATAACTCTCAGCAGAGGGGCGACTGAGGCCCATGTCTGAGTCTTTGGGCTCTTTTACTTTATACACCTCTCTGAACCCTGGGCTTTGGCAGGTAGAATCCCCTTCCAGCTCTAAGCTTCCGAGCTTTGTCTATCAGTGCAGGAACGAAGCGGTGAATGGAATTGCACATCCATTGGAATGCATGTCATGGAGATCATTCTTGCTGGGAGTCACACATGCCTCATTCTTGCTGGGTGATCAACCCTCACTTCAGCCAAAGAAATGAAATGAATTTGATTGTTTATTAAACCAATTCACTTGTTGAGAAGCTGCAGCCTGAGCAGACGCCCTGATACTGAAGAGCCAAACCCCGAAGAATGTTGTTCTGATTTTGTTGACAGAAAGCAAGCTGCTTCCCAGATGCATCACGATGTTGGTAACGATCCAAGCAGCGAAAATTGAAACTGTTCCAAGTAGGGGTGCTTCATTTCCATCGGAGCTTACTTACAACCTGAGCCTCTCAGACACAGCAGTAATCACCAGAATGTAATTGCAGCCCAGTCCAGGGATGCAAAACATGCCTCACTGAGGTCGTAAATGCCACCTTTGTGTTATAGGTGAAGCCGACATTTTATTAATTTTCCAAGATGACTTGGCCGGCACATGATTTCAGCATACCTTCTGACTTGCAAGCTACCTGAAGTTGGAACAGATTAATGTTTGTGGGTTCTTGTAGCCCCTTTTTATGTTCCTACCTGGTCATTATGCTGATGCTGAAAGTCAAGCAACTCTCTGTTGCACGAGACGATTGAATTCACCTGTGTGTGGTGATGCTGGTTGTTTTCTCCCTCAAAGGGGCTGGACTGTGCACCTTCATTGCCGAAGCCCTTTGATCACGGGGAACCAGGGGGTGGAAATCTTTCTTACCGCATCCTTTTGCCCTTGCGACCCAGCGACACTGCCGTGTTTGCAAGAGGAGAGCCACCTGCATCACTTCTCATGCCCTGTGTGTGAGCAGAATGCATTAAATGCCAAGGGACGGGGTGGAATGAGAAAGTTAGCCCTTGCCACCAGTCCACAGGCCAGGAGGGTGGTCTCCCAGTCTCCTGGACATCACTGCGTCTTTAGAATGCAGGCCACAGTGCCAGAGGGCTCTGGGGATCTGGCTGAGACTCAGTGATAGACTTAACACGCTAACAGGAGGTGATGTGGCTGTCCTGGGCGCTAAGGCCAGGGTGTGAGGCCCGTATCCTTCAGAGACAGACCCGTCACCATTGTTGTCAACCGGGCTTTTGCAGGTAGAATGTTGAGAGGAGGGCCAGGAAGTCACCTCCTTCTTCCTCGCTCACTTCTCTTTACTCTTCGTCATTGAGTTCACAGCCTTTTCCCAGTTGTTCTCTTCATATACTTGAAGGGAACATGGCTCCAAGGGACAGGTAACTTAGGAGACTCTAGTCAGGGCTGTATCCAGGTGTACATGGAGCTCGGGGGCCTGCAGTGGTTGGCATGGCCATCTGCTCAGGTGAGGTCAGTCACCCCCAAAGATGCCCAGCTGTTTCCCCGCTCTCACATACTCTCTGTATGACCTGTACTTAATCTCTTTGTGCCCCAGTTTCCCCATCTGTGGAAGGAGGATGGTAGGTGGTTGTGAGGATTGAGTTATGTAAATTACTTGGAGCTGCGCCTGGTATATAATAAATATTATGTACAAGTTGGCTTTTATTATTACAATGCTTTCCTCTTAAGATATCTGGGTAACGCGTCTACTTTTGAAATTGTTAGAGATAATTTGATTTGGTAGTTTTATAAAATTCAATGAAGTAACTATAAAGACTTCATGATGATGCGTTAAAGGGATTGGGGATTGCTAGTTGTATCTCATGGGCAATTCATCTCGGGCAGTTTCTATGTTGGAGATTGAAAGACCACTACCCTGTCAGTCAGAAGAGTAAGGGACTAGGAGTCTTTCACCACTTAGCTTGTGATCTTGGGCAAGTCACTGAACCTTTTAAGCTTTTATTTGCTTACGTGTAAAATGAAGACTGTGATGAAGACTGTGGGACTCTGTGAGGACAAAGTGAGGTGTCAGCGTTTTGCAGGCTCTAAGTACTGAACATATGCAGGGGCTGTTATTAACCTAATAACTATGACCACCTCTTGTCATTCCTTAATGTCTTTATTTCTGCTTACCTGTTATCAGCCCAGACTCCTGAAGTATCCAGCAGGGAACTTCAGCCCAACGTGAAGGGTGAGGAGCCAAATCCAGAGAGAAGTGGGGGTAGGGGGAGAGGGCCAGAGACAGCTTGTCCTCCTCACTCGGTTCTTGGGAAGTCTTGGCTGCCATTGGAGACGCCCAGCTACTCACTGACATGCCAGGAGTCTCAGCACAGAAGCAAGGCCAAGTACAGTAGGAGATGCCCAACCAAGATGGCAGGCAGCAGAAGGAAAGGAGAGGCCGTGGGAAGAATCATCAGCAGTGGTTAGGTATTTGGGCTCTGGCTCCACAGACCAGCTGTGTGAGCCTGGGTAGTTGCTTAACCTCTCTGAACCTCAGTTTTTTCATCTTTAAAATGGGGAGAATACCTACCTCTTTAACTGTGGTGAGAATAAATGACAAGTGTATGTAATGTGTTTGGTACTGTACCAGTAATAGCAAGTGAAGCTGCAACTGTGAAGTTCTTGAGGGTAGGGGGACAGTTATTATTCATCTTTCTATCTCCAGCAGCAAGCACAACCCCTGGCACAAGCCACTGCTAAATAACTATAGTTGGGACAAAATCAAATAAGATAATGGGGGGGGGGAGTGGGGGAGTATTGCAGAAAAGGGGCCGGCAGGAGATGAGGCTGGGCAGGTGGGTTCAGCCAGAATGAGAAGGGCCTTGAATGCCTTGTCGTAGAGATTAGGTGCCATGAATCATTGTTAATGACCTGATGTGGTTCAAGGGAAATAACTTTGGAGGCTTGTTAAGGGCAGGCCGGCAAAGGAGCAGAATGGAAGTGTTGAGACCAAGGCAGGAGTCAGTAAGACAGTGGACTTGGAGAGCAAAGGTCAGCTTCTAGAAACATTTCAGTTGAATGCAATTGGTGACCAGTTGGTTGTAAGAGCTTCTAAGAACACTGTCAGTCATCCAAAAGCTCCATTCTGTTTCATGTGGCCCCATGGATGGGGAGGGAAATGAATAGACAAACACTCGTGCAGAAACATTCCCAGATCCTGGCAGAGAATGTCAGTGGCTTGTCAAGGGCGGGCTACATGGGTCAGAGTGTGAGTGTCTCAGAGAAGAGGGAGGGGTGAGCACACTGCCCAGAGAGACTGTCCCAGGGAATTGGGGAAACTGTCTGTGGCAAAACTATAGACAGCTTAAAATAAGGAAGCTTTGCTGGGCTTAGCAATAAAACTCCCTTCTGTTCTGAGATTCGGTTGCAAGATTTGACCAGTTGGGCCACGGTCCTAGAATATTAAATCTAGCTGGAGCCTTCCTGTTTTATTTCTCAGCTAAATTAGATGCTGAAGGAAGAGCTTCTGACCAAATCAAGTTCTGTTAGAACTCAAATGGTGGAGATGGAGTTTCACCCCCACATTTTCGTGAAGAGAATCACTGATGTCCATTCCATCTGGGCTAAGATTTAGTAGCAAGGCAAACAATATTGGCTAATATTGATTGAGCACATACTGTGTGCCAGGCACTTAGCTAAATGCCGGACTTAAATTTACTTATTTAATCCACACCGCATCCCTTCGAGGGTGGTTGCATATCACTCTCACACCCAGACACATTTTATCCTGTTTACACTATTACTATCTCCGTTTTACCAACGAGGAAACTGATGTGCAGGGAATCTCAGTTACTTACCTAAGGTCACCCAGCTAGTAGGTGGCAGAGTCGGGATTTAAACCCAGGCAGTCTGCTTTCGGAGTTGTCGCTACTAACCACCCCATTGTCCTGCTTCAAATGTGTATTGTGCTCCTTTGGAGCATAAAGCAGGACGGAGACACTCCCAGGAATTGTTTTAACAGGCCTCTTGGCTTTTTATTAGCGCACTAATAGATGTCTGTTGGGTTTTGCTCACAGCTGCCCTATTCACTTGGGCTTTCAGACATTGTGCAGTAAAAGCCTTGCTAATGTCTCCGTAGCAAATGGTAGGACAGCCAACTTGCTTTAGGCAGTGCTCTGGATTAAGTAGTGATTCCGTAAGTGCCACATGGCGGCATGTTTCTCTCCCTCTGTTTTCAGATCTGTGATTCATTCCCCTTTAATACTGAAGCGTGGTGGAGGTGAAGCAGATAGGATCGTCTTCATTTCTCAGATGAGAAAATTGATGTTCAAAGTTCAAGTTACTTGGCAAGTCAAGTGACTTCAAGTCACGCACCTTTTATTGTACGGGAGTTAAGGGATGATGGAATATTCCTAGGAAGGAGATGGCAGGACCTGTTTAACGTATCAGTGAAGAATTTCTAATTAGTCATATCCAGAGACTTAAAATTAGTGGCCTAAAAATCCTTAAATGAAGTGTGTTCCCACACACGTTATTTGCATCTTGTTTTCACTATTCATTTTTCTGAGTAAGTCTTATATAGAGATTCTGAAGCTTGGTGGAATCCACACGGACTCTGATTTTGCAAAGACAAATTATGATGGAGATGACTGACCTCCTGTTCACTGGAAAGCTAAGTAGGGTCCTGACACACGCACTTTCCCGCCCGACTTCTCCTAAAGCCGCTGTTAGTCACACTTTACCAGAAATGTGACTGCAGCTCTGTTTCCTCTCTGCAGCCTGTGCAAGGCTTTGATTATGCCAAACAGCACCTGGGCCAGCAAGGGGCGGACGAGGAGGTCATCCCCGTGACGCAGGAGACGGTGGTCCTCCCGCTCCCTGTCAGAGATGCTCCTGCCTCGCAGGAAAGGGACGTCGCCCAGGACGGAAGCACCATCAAGACGGCCAAGTCCACCGAAACCAGGAAGAGGTAGGCAAGGGGCCAACTTTGGCCTCTCTGTGTCAACAAGAGAAATAATGGATGGTGAGAGGAACCAAAGCCCTCAAGTGAATCCCACTGTCCTCTTTACAAATTCCCCTTCACGCTCATTTTGAATATTTGAAAAGGAGACTGAAGGAGCTGAGGAGAATCATAATACCTGCTTCTCCTGAGCCACCCTTCGTAAGGTTTTGTATTGCAGATCAACCACGACAGCAGAGCTTTAGCTCTTACATTTATTATAATGAATTTGGCACTGATGTCACCCTTACACGTTTTAACTTACGGTAAAAGCAGTTGCTTCGATTTAGCATGCGTAGTTGTAGTTTATCTGGCAGTTTCTCCGTGGTTTATGATTTCAGTTCAAGACCATTTATTGAGATTTCACTATGAAGAGAGTTCATTGACATGCATTGGGAGGACTACAAAGAGGTTTACGATCGATCCCTGACCCCAAGAATCTTGTGATGGAGAGACAGAGAGATAAATAGCTGGAATCCAAGCATGATCTGCAGAAGCCCACCGTGGAGTCTGAACAAAGTGCTGTGGAAAAGAGAGGAGGAAGAACTTAATCCTGAGGAGGGAGGGCATCGTGGAGGAGGTTGTGTTTTAGCTGGGCCTTGAAGGGTGTGTGGAGTGTCAATAGGTGGAAAGAGATGAAGGCATCCAGGAGAGACAAGGCACAGCCACGTTCACTTAATGGTGAGTTTCCTTGAGTTTAGAGTTCATGGGGGCCGGGATGTAGGGAAGGATGAAACCAGAAGACAGATTAAAATTGTAGATGGCTTTAATTTGTGCTCTAGCCAATGGGAAGCCACGGAAAGTTCTTCAGGACGACAGTAATGTCCAGCCTAAAAGATGACTCAGGTAGTAATGTGGAAGATGGAAGGGAGAGTTAGGCTAGAGGCCAGGAGACTCACTAGAAGGACTTTGCAATCGCCTTGTAAAGAGGTAATGAGCCCTAAGGTCAGCCCTGTTGGCTGACTTAACAAACTCCCATTGCCAACCCCCTTCTCCCTTGCCTCGAGACCACAATGGCTGGAAAAGCCATGTCCTGCCTGCCTCCTTCCCACTTTCCTTCCCTTCACCTCACAGATATTTATTGATTGTTTGCTGTTTACCAGGCACTGGGGATACTGCAGTGAACTAGACAAATTTCCTGCTCTCTTGAGATTTACAGTCTAGTGAAGAGATAGACAATAAGCAAACAGAGAAAGAGATACATAGCAGGTCTAGTGGTGGTGAATATGAAGAAGAAAACCGAAGCATGGTAAGGACACAGAGAGCTGGAGAGGGGGCTGTGATGCTATTTTAGCAGGAAGTCAGGGGAGGCCTCTCTGATAGAGGGACATTTGAGAAAGACCTGATGGAAATGATGCGTGAGCCTCAAGGCTATCATCTAGAGGAAGGACGTTCTAAGCCAGTGGTTCTCAACCTTCCTAATGCCGCGACCCTTTAATATAGTTCCTCTTGTTGTGGTGACCCCCAACCATAAAATTATTTTCGTTGCTACTTCATAACTGTAATTTTGCTACTGTTATGAATCATAACGTAAATATCTGACATGCAGGATGTATTTTCATTGTTACAAATTCAACATAATTAAAGCATAGTGATTAATCACAAAAACAATATGTAATTATATATGTGTTTTCTGATGATCTTAGGTGACCCCTGTGAAAGTGTCATTCGACCCCCAAAGGGGTCGCGACCCACAGGTTGAGAACCGCTGTTCTAAGCAGATGGAACAGTATATGCAAATCAGAGGCAGGAACTTTTTGATTTGCTTAAAGGAGAACAAGAAGTTCAAAGAGGCTGATGTGAACCTTGGAGGAAGTGGTAGTGGATGAGTCAGAGTTTAAGAAGTTGTTATGGTAAAAAGAGATCTATAGCAAAATAAACTAGAAAATGCTGAACTAAACAGAATGCGATGAGTCTCTTTATGACAGGGCAGACCTCACGTGCATTAGGAATAGAGTAAACATTTCCCAAACTTATACTCATCTGTGAAACTTCGACAAGAACATCCCATTTGGACTATGTGTTCTGCTCTTGGCAGACTCTACCTTGGCCCATGCATGGCATGAGCGGGCACTTCCAGTGTTCATGATTTTTGGGGTGCTGAAGTACATGGAAGTGTACAGAACTGAGAATTCCAAGTTCCCACAGGATGAGGAGGGAGGAAGAGGAGCATCCACTAGCAAGTGCTGCATTTTATCCAGTCAATTTCCATGGATAAAGGGGTCGGATGCCATTAGGTTCTGAATCTGGACAGTTGACAATAGATGAACAAGGGGTTGGATGAGGCCTCTGGATACCTGCCCCCTGTTGTCTCCCACAGAGGGAAGGCAGTTGGTCTTTATGCTCAGCCCACCCACAGGCTGGCGTGATCTAAGGCCCCAGGGAGCGTGAACTCACTCAGCATGAACTCAGCAGGGGCTCTCCAGAGCCCATTTTCCCACTGGGTCCAGAAGGCCAGAGTCCAGCCCTAGGGAAGGCGAGAAGGCCCTGTGGCTTCCCTTGTCTAAACGCTTGCCACAGCTGCTGCATTGTAGGAGAGACTGTAAAGAGAAGGTGCTGCCCTAGCCGGTTTGGCTCAGTGGATAGAGCGTCGGCCTGCGGACTGAAGGGTCCTAGGTTCGATTCTGGCCAAGGGCACTTGCCCAGGTTGCGGGCTCGATCCCCAGTGTGGGCGTGCAGAAGGCAGCTGATCATTGATTCTTTCTCATCATTGATGTTTCTATCTCTCTCTCTCTCTCCCTCTCCCTTCCTCTCTGAAATCAATAAAAATAAAATAAAATTTTAAAAATAAATAAATAAAAAAGAGAAGGTTCTCCAGCGTGTGGGGAAAGCCACTACCTGCAGGGGGAGTTCCGGCTTCCAGGGTTGATTGGCCACCTCCCTCTATACGTGCCCTCTATACCTGTATACCTGGCACAATGCCCAATACAGTGGGTGCTCATTTCCTGAATGAATGAAAATAACTCAAATTATAGTTTCAAATGAAAGTAGTTAGCAGTTAGCACAGTTAAGAGTGTGTGTGTGTGTGTGTGTGTGTGTGTGTGTGTGAGAGAGAGAGAGGGTGAGAGAGAGTTAGAGTGAAGAATTTAATGGTGGAGTGACTTCATCTTCAGTAGCTAAGGTATAGTCTGTATAGAGAATAGCCAAAGAGAACTGTGATCCCTACATGTCCCTGAAGATGCCCTGTGAGTCAGACACTCAGCAACACCTCCAAAGTGCTGTGTTTTCATAAGAGGGCATGCTTAAACCATTTCCATAGTCACTGGGGGTTAATGAAAAAGAGATGGGGACTGAGGGCTGCGCTCACTGAACTTCTCTGCCGAGCTAAGCACCGGTCAGCGCACTTCAGGACAGCCAGCTACGTAACCGCGGCTGCAGTACGGGTGTTTTTTTAAATTTCCGAATCATTTCTTTTTTTGTAGGTAAAACCAGAAAGAAAGGCTACAGACATAAACTGTGCAAATAAAATAACCTTGAGAGGAGGCTGTGCGAGTCGAAACTTACCATCTCCTTGTTGCTATGGTTACCTCCAGCAGGTCACCCAGTGAGAATGGCTCTGTCATCAGCAACGAATCAGGGAAGCCCAGCTCAGGGAGGCGCTCGCCCCAGAATGTAACGGCACAGCAGAAAGTGACAAAGGAGGAGGCACGGAAGAGAAATGGTGAGAAGCCTTCCCTGCCAAGTACCGCCCTCGAGCCTGTCCCACATGTGCGTGCACACACCCGTGGACACAGGTCTGCACACACTCACACACCCCAGTGTGCCACCCTCATTTCTTCTTTCTGTTTTGTCCTACAAAGACCACAAGTCAGTTTCCTACCTACCTGTTAGAGTATTGCCTGACCCCCGTCTCTGAATTATCCTGGCTCCTGTTCTTATGGAATTGTGCAGGGCCTTAAAAAACTCTAATGCAGAATGAACTGATGTTTGCTTAGAGATTTTTCGATTCTGGGGTGAATTGACATTTCTAGCACCAGGTCCTCTTGGGTGGCAGGTCTCTGAAATGTTGCTTGTTTTGGAGATTCCCCCCGTTTTCTTTCCCTGACTCCCCTGATAGGTTCCGGGGGTTCATTCTAGGCCAGTGAGTCCAGATGCTGCAAATCCCCCTCTCCCAGGAAAAATAGCACAGTGATAAATATTATCCTAGACATCAGCCTGTGCTCCTGCCTCTGTTTTCCAGGGAAGCTTAATGGTTGAGTTTCTCAAACAGATCTTCCTCCTTATAAAGGTTTGGTGTTGGGGTTTTGGTAAGTCCTCTGAGCCACCTGGCTGTGCTGTGGCACCATCTGTGTATAGCTCACATCTGCCGGACCCCAGGGTGCAGCCTCCCTGTCTTCCCAGTCCCACCTTGGTTCTGATCCTCCTCTCCACTCGGTCCTTCCATGAGTGATGCCGGCGTCCTGGAGACCAGATTCAAGTACCCCATGCTGCCACCCGGAACAAGGAAGGTTCCTTTAGGACAGTGATTCTCAACCTTCTGGCCCTTTGAATACAGTTCCTCATGTTGTGACCCAACCATAAAATTATTTTCGTTGCTACTTCATAACTGTAATGTTGCTACTGTTATGAATTGTCATGTAAATATCTGATATGCAGGATGGTCTTAGGCAACCCCTGTCAAAGGGTCGTTCGACTGCCAAAGGGGTCGTGACCCACAGGTTGAGAACCGCTGCTTTAGGAGTTCCAAGGGTTGCAGGCAGGGTCCTACAGAAATGCCAGGGGGAAAGCCCAACCATCTGGCAGTCTGCTTAGTTGTGCTTCCTTTTTAGAGGAATTGGATGAGGTGTGGCGCAGGGGCTCTCTCTGGAAGCTAGTGCCAGAATATTCCTTTGCTTTCAAATGTCGCTTACTTATTTCTTTGTTTCTGACAAAAGAAAGAAGAGAGAAAGAAAAGAAAGAATGCCACAATAGACCCCATGCCCAGCTATCATATAAAACACTTGTTTAGAATGTCATGCTGATTTGATCCTTGAATTTTTTCTTCTCCTGAGCTCCCCTGCCCTGTAACACGGAGACTGCTGTCCACTCCAGAACCAGGCTGTGACACGTGGGGTTTTCCTGGGACATCTGTCCTCCTTGGGGCCAGAAGTCCTGCCCAATCCACTCTCGGCCAAGCCAGCTCACAGAGGGCCCGAGCTCCGACATGTGAAGGGGGACGTGAACTTAGCAACTTTCTTCTCTTCCTTCCCAGGGCAAGGTGCTAAGAGAGAAGTGGGGAGGGAAGAAGGGAGGCCACACAGAGACAATGGAGAGGGAAGACACAGGGGAAAGTTGTTTTAACCAAGTGCAGAGACTGCCATCACCACCCAATCAAGGGACCCTCTCTGCTTCTCTACTCCCTCCCAACCTCCTTGCCTGCCTGCCTTTATATTCTTCCTGGAAATATATAAGGTCAAGTCAAAGTCCACCCTCGTCCAGATCCCCCATCACCTACCCCAGTCCTCAAATGGCCTTGAATAACATAGCATGTCTTTCTCAGGACTTTTTACTACGCATATGACAACACACCGTATCTTTGTTTTCTGTTGTGTAGCTTTGTTTTGTTTTGTAAAACGGGATCAATGTACATACTGTTCTGTGGCCTTTTTCTTGCAAAAGAATGTGCAGCCTACAGACTCCTCTGTCAGTAAATACACACGTACAACATGATGCCTTTCCCATTCCCTGCATTTATTTCATAGACAAGGAGGAGCAGGGCCGGTTTCAGATCCCATCGCTCCCCATGCCTCTGAGGAGACACTGACTTGCTCGAAATGTCCCTGCTGACCTCCCCCATCCTTGTTCTGCCACCTCCTCTGCCTGCCTCCTTATTCTGTTTGGGTCACTGTGATTATTTAAACATCAGGTTCAGAAATGACAACAGCACGGTGCACCAGCAGAATGCAATTACCGGCCAGGTTGAGGTTTTCATGCAATAGCTTTATCTAAACGCCATCCTTTCTCCCGGTTCCCAGTGCTTTGCTGCATTGTCTTTTTGCCAGAAGTCAGCCCAGTGAATTTTCAGGGTTGATGGCTTCTGTTTTACCACTGGTTCCCACCCAGTGAGGTTTCCGTTAGAAATTTTCAAATAGAAACGATAGCACCAACACATTTAATGAAAACAGATGCTGAAGCACATCAGAATTCTAGGATGGACCTTCAACGGAACCTACACTTGTCCTTTTTATCAAAGGGCTCCACTTTATCATAATGCTAGGTTAGAGTCTACCCCCAAAAAAAATCAGTAGTGTATTTTATTGGATTGGAAGATGAACCTAAGGAATGGGAGAAAAGGAGGAAGGAAAGAAATAACATTGAAATTGTGGAGAAATATAAAAAGGTATTTGTCAGCTTGCGAAAGGTATTTTAATGTGTGACTGTGGTCTCTGAGAATGGACTATTGTATGGAATATTCAGATACTGTTGTTTTATGGCTCGGTATCCATTCTAGAGGTTAGAGTTACTAAGGTTAATGAACAAATGTTAATGTTCCAGGCTGTCATTCTAAAACTGTTTGGTTCCCACCAGTTTTGTTGCATTTGTACCTTGTGATTTTCCACTTTCGCGAAAATAAGACCTTTAAAAGGGAAAGACATTATCCCTCCAGGAACGCGGCTGGGTGGGTCCTTGTAGCTCAATGGCCTCATTAGCTCCCTGCTTTCGAGTCTGTTTCAGGACGATGTTTAAATACAAATGGGAAAGACAGAGATGACAGCTAGGATTTTGAAAGCAAAAGAATGTAGAATTTTTTTCAACCAAATACAGACACTTCAACTTTTGAATTAAAACCGATATTACCCAGCCGGTGTGGCTCAGTGGTTGAGCGTTGACCCATGAACCAGGAGGTCACAATTTGATTCCTGGTCAGGGCACATGCCTGGGTTTCGGACTCGATCCCCAGTAGGAGGCGTGCAGGACGCAGCCAATCAATGATTCTCTCTCATCATTGTTGTTTCTATCACTCTCTCCCTTCCTCTTTCTGAAATTAAAAAAAAAACAAAAAAAACAAAAAGAACCAATGTCACCTTGGAAAAAGTGTTTTCGGGAAATGAGTTCAAAATGAGGACGTAATATATATATTTAAATGTTCAGTCATTTAAAAGCAAAAACTTCCATAAACCCTTAATTGCACACCTTCCTTTAAGACACTGAGAGACAGGTCAGATATTAGCTCAGAAACACAGCTTTAGTTTTCATTCTTTCTGCGCCTTCTCAATGAGAGGTGAAGACTTGCTTGTTATCTGATAAACACCAGAGGCCGGTGACGCTAGTTATAAATCTTCTCTGAGCTTTAAGGGAAATTCCAGAAAGAAAGAGCGTGCATTGTTCAGGAGCATTTTCTGCCTCAAATGGGAGGGCTTGCCCCCTCCCCCGCCATGCCAATGTACAATAAACATCAAGAAACGAAATCTCCCTTCTTAGCCTGATTTGCAGAAGTTCAGACCAACACAACCAGATCCGCATGGCGGCATTTACTGAGATGACGGCGATGGTATCTAGGACACTTCAGCAGTTTAACGGTGGCCCTTTTGTTTAGCATTCTCTGGTGCTTTTTCTTTCAGGACTGATTATGCATTAAATATTCCCATGAACCTGCTGGACTCACACAGCATTTTAGTATTAATATTTAATGTAATGCCCTTTAATGTATTTTTCCATATAGTCTTTTTTTTGGGGGGGGGGGATCACTAATTATTTTTCTCTTAAACCAAGAGGAATTATTGTGCAAATCTGAATCTGACCATTCTGACAGTGAGAATGAAAAATGAACTGTAGTTTGTACATCCTTTTTCTGTCTCCTCAGAGTTATGCTCCTCCCTTTATCCTGTCCATGGGGCGGGGAGTGAGGATGTCACAACCCAGAAGCAATAAAAGTATTAAGTACCATCTCTTTGCATGTTTTCCTGTTCTGCAGGTACTAACATCTCCTTTCCAAGTCAGGAAATTTTAGTCATTCCTTTATTCATCATTTATTCAGCAAATCCCTATTGAAAGCCAGCTACCTAGGAGATGTTATTAAAGGCAATCGGTATTGCCTTTAAAAATATGGGCAAGAATGGGGCTCATATTCTAGTGTCAGCACACAAATAAAGAGCATTGCATGCTGTGGAGAAAATATACCAGGGTGATGAGGCAGGTTGTTTTAGGCGGGTGGACAAGGAAAGTCTTTTTTCAAGCAGTAACTTGAAAACTAAGAAGGAACGAGGCATGCAAAGACCTGGGGAAAGAGCTTTCCGAGCAGAGTGAACAGCTAATACAAAACCCTGAGGTGGGAACAAGCCTGCTGTGTTCGAGAAGCCGTTGTGGCTGGAGAGGGGATGAAGGGGAGAGGGAGGAATGAGCTCGGTAAGGTCACCAGGACCAGGTTGTACAGAACCTGGGCGGCCTGAGTTTTATTCTGAGAGACATGAGGCCTTCAGAGGGTTCTGGTCAAGGGAGTACTGTGACCTGGTTGTCTTTTAAAAAGATCCATCCTGGCTGCTGGGGGAGTATGCATTTTAGGGATAGGAGGACAGACTGGAAGCTTGGAGGAGGGAGTCGTTTAGGAGGTGTATCAGTTATTTATTGCTGCGTAACAAATCACCCCCACACCTAGTAGCCAAAAGCGACAATCTGCATTTATGGTGTTGGATGATGTCTGTGGGTCAGGAATCCAGGAGTGGCTTAGCTGGGTGGTTTGGGCTCAGAATCTCATGAGGTCACAGTCTGGGCTATAGTCATTTCTGAAGACTTGGCTGGGCCTGCCGAATCCACTTACAAGATGGCTCATACGTAGCTGTTGGCAGGAGTCTCATTTTCTTGCCACGTGGACCTCTCCATAGGGCTACTTGAATGTCCTCATAACATGGCAGCTGGCTTCTCCCAGAGTAAGGGGTCCAAGAGAGAGCAAGGTGGAAGCCACAATGTGTCTTAATGACCTAGCCGTGGAAGTAGCACACGGTCACTTCTGCAATTTCCTTGTGGTTACACAGGTCGGTCCTATTTATGGTTGGTCTGTGACTCTGAGGAGGTAGACATCTGGGAGGCTGGCTACCATAGATGGCGTTCATAGCAGGTGTCCAGGTGGGAGATAATGGGGGTCAGACAGGAGTGCCCCACAAAACTCCTATGCATCCGGTAACATGTCTGAATAGAGATTGTCCTCTGTCATTGGCAGTTCGGTGGCCTGCTATTTGCCAATAAGTCCACAGAACCGAAAAATACTCCAATTAGAGCCATTGTTAGACTCTGAAGCGTTTTAGCCACAATTTACTTGGCTTAATTTGACAAATGTTCGGTGATTATGGCAAGCGACAGAATGATACAAACTATGTGTTTCTCAATGATTTAAATAACATCCCAATCTCTTGAGCAGACAGGAGGAAAGATAAATACACTTCTATTACATTCGTATTTTAATAACACCTATTTTGTTCCTAAATTGCCTGCTGGTTTAGTTGCTTGAACAGGCTTAATTTATCTCTCGCCCAGCCATGCTCAACAAACTGTCATTCTTATAGTCAGTTAATGGGAAGATGCTTTAAGGAGAAGTAAATCAGCAAGTACCACTGGCCCTGGAACTCCTCCTGTCGGCTTAGTTCTGGAAGCAATCACAGTAGAATTATCATCTGTCAGAGGCGAGAATTAATGCAAAAGAGTGTGGGTGAAAATTGCTCTATTTAATTAGGGGAGTTGTCTGCAGCTTTAAATTAGTTTCTCTGGTGGTTATTTCTTAGCTTTCTTTTGTTTTAGACAAACGAAAAAACTGAAACTCAAATCATTGAGAAGCAGCCTTTAGGGGAAAAAAAAAAGTGTCAGCTGCAATTACTATGGCTGGCTGACCAGGGAAGACTCGTCACCTTAACATCGTGCAAAAATGGATAACTCTGGTGTCAGAGACTGAACTGAATGCTGTTACTCAATGGATTGTCATATTTTAAGAAGAGTTCCACGTTTGGCCAAATGGAACTTGCAAACATAGCAAACATTTTCCCATCTCTGACTCAAACTTGGAGAAAAAAAATTTACTTTTTTTTTTAAAGGTTTTTTTCGCAAGTTTGAAAAAAATGGTTTTTACCATTTACATTCAGACTTTTAAAATTCTTTCCTACCCATGGATAACACAGTAGGCCTTACGTTTAAAAGAAATGCATGAGTAGCAGTGAGCCCTTGGCACAGAACCAGATGTTGTTTCTGAGGTCGTTTAGAGTCAAGTAATGTCCTTGGGCTGTTAGCATCACACATAAATCCCCCATGTTCCTGAGGCTCCCCTCCGGCCATAAAACCGATGTACTTATTTGTTCTTTAGTGCCCGCAAGTGATGAAGAGGAAGGCGCAGTTCTATTTGACAGCTCTGGCAAGGCGGCTGCTGATCCCTTTGACTCGTCCTCTGGATCCGTGCAGCTCATCGCAGTAAAACCCACAGCCCTCCCCGTGGTGCACCCCACCCCGGACCGGAGCCAGGAGGCCGCAGCACTCAACGGTGAGGTGAGCACTTGAGCACCCAGAATGGGAGAGAGCCCAGGCAGCCAGGAGCACCACCTGGGAACACCAGGGGCAGGCTGCATCCAGGTATATAGGACTCCTTTAGTCATTTTCACCTCTGCGTGCACAGGCCTCAGTGGAATGAATCAGGGCACAAGTCACCCAAAACAAATTTGTTAGGTGATGTTTTCAGAGAATCTTTTTTACCTTCATTCTAGAAAGTCTAGAGGGGGCTTTTTAAAAACTGTAGTTATGAAGAGAAACCTCAGAAACTCCTCCCCACATACAGTCTTTTACCTTTCTTGATAACGCTCCTAAACTGTTCATTATTGGATGCCAATTGCAAGGGGCTTAATGTGAGAGGGCACAGGAGAGGATCCTGTCACTCGAACAGGGATGTGCCCACTCTATAGGCTTTGAAATGAATTTCACTCCTTGGAGCAAGATTGAAACAACCCTTTGGCTGCTGTTAGAAGGATTTCTATGGATATCATGTGGTCATTAATTTTCCTAAGAGTCTGAAAAAAATTGTAACATATATAGAGAATGATGATTTCACAAAGATTATTTTAAAGAAAACATAGCAACATAGAAAGTTCAGAAAATAAGAGAGAAAAATCACTGTAATTTCATGACTGTAGCATATCCTCTGTTTTCACTCTTACACCTTTTCTTCAAGCTTTTGATCAAACTCATTTATATTTTCGAATCCCATCATCTTGAATGTTAGACATTGGCTGTGTTGCTCTTGTCTTGCTGATGATCATTGTTAATGACTTAGTTGAGAAGGTATGCCATGGATTAAAAAACTCATCTCCCATTGTTCAAACCTTCCAGGTATGTTTTTGTTTCCAGTTTTGGTTTTGGTTATTATAAATATCACTTCAATTAATAATTTTAAAAGCTTTTATTTTGAAATAATTTTAAGCTAAAAAAAAGAGTTTTAGTAATAGTACAGAGTTCCTATACACTTTTTAAAAATTTTTATTGATTGATTTTGAGAGAGAGAGAGAGAGAGAAAGAGAGAGAGAAGGAGAGAAGGGGAAAAAATATATATCAACTTTGTTGTTCCACTTGGTTGATTCTCATATGTGCCCTGACCTGGAATCAAACCTACAACCTTGTCATATCAGAATGATGATCTAACCAATTGAGCTACCCAGACAGGGCCTCCTATACACTCTATACATAGCTACCCTAATGTTAACATCTTATGGAACCATAGAATAATTATCAAACCCAGGAAACTAACTATTGACTATAGACCTCTTTGAGTTTCACTGGTTTTCCCACTGATGTCCTTTTCCCATTTCGGGATCCATCAAGGATCCTCCATGGCATTTAGTTGTCTCCTTAGTCTCTTCCCGTCTGGGATAGTCATTCTTTGTGACCATTCTTTGTATTTCATGACCATTACTCTTCTGAAGAGTACTGGCCACTTGTCATGTAGAACGTTTCTCAATCTGAGTTTGTCTGATGTTTTCTTGTGACGGGACTGAGGTTATGTAATTTTTGGCATAACCACAGGGGTGATAGGCCTTTTTGTGGGCGTCATATCAGGAAATACCTGATCCTGATATGTCTGATTACTAGTGATATTAACTTTCATCTCTGACTTTGAACCTCTCATGGAATGTTGCTTTAGTTGGGATTCCTGGCCCAGAGGATGTTACTTACCCTAACTTCCTTCTTTACTAGTTTTTGCAGTGGCAAGCAGAATGAAGGAACAATGAAGACTTGTTAAATTCTTCCAGTCTAAAAATAGAATTAGGGCCCCAATTGGGGAAATCTTTGCAAAAGTTAGGGGAAAAAATGTCTTCCAGTTATTATTTCTTCAAACATTGTAAAACTAAAATATCTAAGATAGTGAACCTTGGTCCTCATATTGTGTAGGTTGATATATGCACCAGGTGAATTTTCCTTTTATGAATCACAGGAAATTCTTTTAAAGATTATTTTAGCCCTGGCCAGCATTGCTCAGTTGGGTGAGCATTGTCCCATACACCAAAAGATTGTAGGTTCAATTCCCAGTCAGGACATATGTCCCTGTTGCTGACTCAATCTTCCGTGGAGGGCGTGCAGGAGGAAGGCGATCAGTAGTATTCACTCATCGATGTTTCTCTCTCTCCCTCTCCCTTCCTCTCTCTGTAAATCAATAAAAACATATTTTTAAAAAAGATTATTTTAAAGAAAGCATAATAACAGCACTACATATGGTTATATTAATATAGTCAAGTCTAATTACAAACAGCACTCATGATTCTCCATGTCAACCAGTAAGTGTCAGGCAGATATCACCATTCAGTTTCATTCATAGGTGTAACATCTTCATCCTTTGTTGTTTATTTAGCATAATCATCTGTTTGTATCTTTTTGAGTATATTTTTTATTTATTTCAGAAAGGAAAGGAGAGGGAGAGAGAGATAGAAACATCAATGATGAGAGAGAATCATTGATTGGATGCCTCCTGCATGACCCCTACTGGGGATTGAACCCGAAACCCAGGCATGTGCTCTTGACCAGAATCGAACCTGTGACCATTCAGTCTGCAGGCTGATGCTCTATCCACTGAGCCAGACCAGCTAGGGCTGTTTGTATCTTTGAAGGTCAAAAGGTATGTTCCTTTTTAGAAGACCAGACTGGCTTGGCCCTTTAGAGCAGAAACTGGTTGGCATTAGTGGCCATACAAGGCTTCAAAATTCCTTATCTCTTGAGAAAAAATATAAATTGACAAAAATAAGCACTCAAATGCAGATTGATAGTGTGGAGAGACCTTGGGGGCAGGGTGTCTGCTGCCCCTTCCCACCCAGTTCGTCTCAATTCAGCCTCCTCAGGAACCGCCTGTCTTATCCAGGTGGGCACCAACTGAATGGCCAAGGGAGATTATTGGGTTCCTCAGGGCTGAACCTAGAATTGGACACCAAGATCCAACTGGGCTGCTCAGTCAGAGGCTCTCATGCAGGGGGGACAAAAAAGGTTTGGGTGGGATTAAGGCCCACGCCACAAAGCTAAAAGAGTGGACTCAGGCCTATGTCTGAACAGACTCAGGTAGATTAGGGAATAGGAGGCTTTGGTGGAAGGTCTCAGGCCACGTAGGTGTGGGCCAGACTCCACGTTGTCTGTGGCCCACTGTCGTGAGCTGGTATTGGAAGGGATCACAGTTGGGTCATGGCTGGCTCGAAGGCCCGGACATGAAGCCTAGGATTACTTCTCCTGGAGTTGTGACCCTCCGCTGTGCAGGGTCAGGTGTGGACTTGAGACGGTCTCTCTCCCCAGGTGAACAAAGCCCTGAAGCAGAAGTCAGACATCGAACACTATCGGAACAAGCTGCGCCTCAAAGCCAAGAGGAAGGGGTATTACGATTTCCCTGCAGTGGAGACAAACAAGGCTCAGACGGAAAGAAAAAAGATGTATGAGAAAGCCCCAAAGGAAGTCGAGCACGTGTTGGATCCAGACCCGGAACTGTGCGCCCCATTCGCCGAGTCTAAAAACAGGTGCGGTCTGTAAGGGAATTATTTGAAGGTCGCTGCGCCATTGGTGGGATGAGGGTAGCGGGTGCCTTGGGCAGTGCAGTCCTGGTCCCTTGATCTGTTAGCTTAGGACTGTCATCTCTGAAGGCCGCTGAGCCAGACCATTCTCTTTTGTGTGAGCATGTGCTCCACAATGAGTCTGAAAGAGAATAAAATTGAAGCCACAAATACTTGGGTAAACAACCATAATTGTCCTTTAGCTTAGTGATATTTTCAAACTTCAGCTGTTTCAGAGCTGGGTGAAGATATAATCATCACCTACCTGGTTATGCAACTTCCAGATCAAAGGACATGGTATTTTTCAATTATTTTAGAGGCTCTTGCATAAGAGAAGCAAATTTCATGCCTCACCTTTTCATTCAGCTGCAGTATTTACCACATAGCTACTTGGAGCTCTGTGCTGGGTTCATCTCTTCAATTCATAGATTTGGTCATGTATTTGACATTTAGTGTCACCTGCTATGTATGAGCCACCACGCAAGATGCTGAATACTGTCACAGTCGTGTTGCTTTTTCTCACTCATTTATTCACTCATCCATTCAACTCATTCAACATTTTATGGCAGACCAGACAGCCCAATTGCTGCTCTTAAGGTCCGAAGTGGGAGAGAAAGATAACCACCTCAAAAGTTTATTACGCACAAGTGTGATGGGAGTTGGAATGTGAGGAGCTGTTACAGTCTATCAGGGGACCCGGCCTCCCAAGGGAAGGTTAGGCCCAGGGGTTTGAATTATCATCCTTCCAAGCTTTGTTGCCAGCTAAGCAGAGGGTGATCTCACCTCCTGGGTTAAGGAAGAGAGGTTCTAGCAGAGCTGTGCACGCCCATCTTTCTTCTTTTCCTCCCCACCCCGAAGCACTTCTTCAGAAACACTCCTTCATGATTTGAGACCATGGCTTTCAAATACACATTCTCCTTGGTGACGGCCCCTTGGCTGGGAGCGTGCCAATGCTCTGACCCGCCCCCTAGCCTTGGCAGACACACTCTTCCCAGACTGGGTGGGACAGGACCGTTCCCTGCCTGAGTGGGTGTTTATTAAAAGCAGACTTGTCCATGTGACAGGCTTGGATGGGAGACACAAAACCCAGCTGGGAGGTGAGGCTAAACTTTTTGAGCGGAATTGACAGAATTTATTTTCAACAAAGAAACGAGGGATTTTTAAACCAGTGCTTCATTTCACATGCTTCTCATTAGGCTCGGGAGGGACAGCAAGCTGTTGATGTGAAACCACACTGTGACAGGGAACACAATGCAGGTGTCACCATGTTGATAACTGTAGAAAGAAGAGAAGATAGGGATTTTATGGGGAGGCGGGGGGCTTCTTTAGAGTTTACTTAGCATGTTGAGACCTTTCAGTTCAGCAGTCTTTTGTAGACAGGGTGGGAAGTTGTTTTTTTCTGGGTTTCCTGCTGACACTGAGAAAAGGAATCAAAGATCATGTGCCAATGGAGAACTTACCTTGGAAGCTATTTGAGAAATTAATAAAACTTTCAGTTGAAGCTTTAAAACTTTTTTTAATTTTTCAATTATAGTTGGCATTCAGTATTATATTAGTTTCAGGTGTTCAGCCTAGTGGTTAGACATTTATTTCTATAACTTGTGAAGTGATCCCCCTGATAAGTTTACTACCCATCTGGCACCATACATATTTATTCCAATATTACTGACCGTATTTTCTATGCTGTACTTTAGATCCCTGTGACTATTTTTGCTTCTTAACCCTTTCACCTTTTTCACTCAATCCTCCATACCCCCTTCCATCTGGCAACCATCAGTGTGTTCTCTGTATCTATGAGTCTGTTTTGATTGTTCATTTATTTTGTTTTTTAGACTCCACATACATGTTAAATCATATGGATTTGTATTTCTCTATATGACTTATTTCACTTAGCATAATACCCTCTAGATCAGTTATTCTCAACCTTCCTAATGCCGCGACCCTTTAATACAGTTCCTCATGTTGTGGTGACCCCCAATTTCATTGTTACAAATTGAACATAATTAAAGCATAGTGATTAATCACAAAAACAATATGTAATTAAATATGTGTTTTCCGATGGTCTTAGGCGACCCCTGTGAAAGGGTCATTCGACCCCCAAAGGGGTCGCTGCTCTAGATCCATCCAGGCTGTCGCATATGGTGAGATTTCATTCTTTTTATGTTGAGTAATATTCCATTGTATACATGTACCACATTTTCTTTAGAACACAGTTTGGGAACTGCTTTCTTAAACTATAGTAGGATTAAAAAGCTCCTAAAAATCCAAACAAAATTTATCATTATCTACCCAGCTATATTTTCAGAGGTAAAAAAAAACACCTACTTCTCAAGTTTGCAAGTATCCAAATTTATTGACTTTTAAAGAATATAGAAAAATAACAACAAGAAATTAATACACCTCTTGGAACTCTATTTGGTTAAAATAAGTAACCTCTCTACCTAAGAGCCTAAGTATTTCTAAGTAGTTTCTTGCACACCGTGCACTCTGAGGGTCTGGTCAGTTGCGGTCCACACTCACCAGCAGCCTAGAAGCTTGTATCCTAAAGGCGGCTGGCGTGCACTCAGCGTCTAAGCTCTCATTCACCTCCGTGGTTCCTGAAGGGGCTTCCACAATCTCACTTTGTATTTCTAATGCTTCCAAAATAACCTACTTTCCTAATCCTAGGGTTTTATCCCCAACCCCCGTCTTAGTAAATCTTTTCTAAATGGGCTAATTGGCAATCTCAGGGCAGCTGTGAAATCTACTTTTTAAAAAAGTCTATAATTAGGTCAAGGAAGAGAGCTCTGTGGGGTCTCAAAGTGTGAATCACTCAGGACGGATTCTGTTTTACAAAGTTGTGCTCCATTCCTAAAGAAAGCCCCTCATTGCAGACAGCTCTAGGGCACGTTTCATTATGGTCGGCTTTAAACTCTTACATTAATCAGGATTCTTTTGGTTGCAAGTGATGGAAATCCAGCACAAACGGGTTAAGTAAAAGGGAATTTATTACTGAACATAATTGAAAGGTCAAGGCTTCCGGTGTGGCTAGATCCCAGGGATCATGCCATGTCTCCCATATTTATCTTGCTCTCTCTTCACTCTTTGCTGGCTCCTTTTCAGGCAGGCTCTTACCTCTTAGCGGCAGCAGCACCTCTAGGCTGGTAGTCTATCTTCTTAGAAACCTCAATGCCGAGAGAACGCCTGTTTCCTGGTTGCTCTAGCAAAAGCCCTGGGATTCAGTGTCCTTGGACCAACTCCCTCTGACCAATCAGTGTGGCCACGGGGGTGGGATGCTGTGATTGTACAGCCTGAATCTCATGCCAACCCCTGGAGCCAGCGAATGCCACAGAGAACAGCATATGGGTACCAGGCAAGCAGAGATCACAGGTGCTCTCTACATAGGTGTAAGCCCTCGCGGTGAGGGAGTAGGTCTGTTGGTGTCTGTGTCATTCCCTGGGCTAATTGCAAGGGTAGTGTTTTGCTTTGGGAGTCCTAATGTCTGTTCTAGACTAACAGGGTGTGACTGCCATGCTGTGACATGCTGGGTGTGTGATCCTGAAAAGGTGTGTATACCTGCCAGATTTCTGGTTTCCCACAGAGCCACTGAGAACAAATAAAGCAACTGTTTTACCTTCAACCCATGAGTAGATAGAATGTTAGAATCAAGACATAAAATAGGTGGTATTTGGGGAGTTCGCTCAAGATAGATGCTCTGAAATGCAAGTTATTAACAGGGGGAAACTTCTTGTTGGATGAGAAGGAAGTTGGTGATTTTGTCATTCAAAGGATCACGTGAAAGTCCCCTGTCCCCACTGGGCCTCACTGCCCACTTGTGTTACTTCCTGTGGAAAAAGCAAAGCAAAGCCACAACCCTCCTTCGTTGCTGTTGTTTTCCTCCTCCTCAAAAAGTTCCTCTCATGACAAGTGGAAACAGGACAGTGGTGGCAAATGTTGGCATTTCCAAGGGGGAACCGAGGGGAGCCTCTGACCGTGCTGCTCCCTGGGACTGGCGTGCTTGGTGCCCAGGTGGGCATGTGGCTGCCTGTAGGTCTCGGCTGAACTGTCACCTCTCCTGGGAGGCCTTCCCTGGCCGTCCTACCTAAAGTTGTCCCCCATCATCATCACCCTCGGTCACATCCCCTTGTTGTTTTTCTGAACCTTAATATAAGGCTTTTATTGACAACAATACTATACTTTATGGTTGATTAAACACACACATATGAATATTACATATATAGGGTGACCCCCCCAAATGTATACATACTAGTACACTGAATAATTATAAAGGCAGTGTTTATTAAAATACATTTCATGTTCAAAATTGAGCTAATAGCTATTGAAGTGTGTGTCACGTTTTTGAAGTCTAGATGAACAGGTATGTGTGTGTGTGTGTGTGTGTGTGTGTGTGTGTATTTTGGCTTTAAAAATTTTTTCAATTACAGTTTATTCGATATTATTTTGTGTTGGTTTCAGGTAGACAGCATGGTGGTTAGACAATCATATGCTGTATAAGTGTTCCCCCTGATATTTTCAGCACCCAGCCGCTACCATACATAGTTATTACAACATCATTGACTGTATTCCCTATGCAGTACTTTACATCCCCACAACGGTTTTGTTGTGCTTCTCATCTCCTTGTTTTTCTTACGCAGGGGGCTTACACTATTTGGAGAGCACTTATCACTCTGAAATTATCATGTGGTTTATCTGTCTCTCTCATTAGAATGTAAGCTCTGTCTTGCTCACTGTGGACCTTCATCATCTTTCATGGTGACTGGAACATAGTAGGTACTCAGTAAATATTAGGTATGATGGACAGATGGACCAATGGATAGAGGAGCCCCAAATTGCCTCTAGTTTATAACTCCTTAGGCCAGAGGGGAAACCACTGTGGTGAAGGTAGAAAAGAAAGTCTATCCAAGTGGTAGTATTAAGCATCCCATTAGCCTCCGGGTTTATTAACACATCATGGAGCCCTGCCTGCAGAATCGGAAAGATGAATAAGAACAGGAGGCTGCTGAGTCAACAGTCAACAGAAGCAAGTTTGTTCTTCCAGTGTTAGCTCTTTTCAAGGGTCAAGGGAAAGCCATTGGCCTAGCCATCAGCAGGATTTTAGATGAGGTTGCAGTGTTGCGATGGATTGTAGTTACCAGATGAAAGAGCATTTACAATTCAGCCAAATGGTTACAGCATCTGGAAAAAAAATCTTTATTCCACTATTTCTATGGCCCCTGGTGACTGGGGAGCGAATGCCGTCAATTCTGAGATTTGTGAGGCGAATCCAACCAAACCCTTCATTGGTCGCCTGTATTTTGGATCAGTGGAGAATTCCATCTGTCAGGGCATTTGCTGCATCATAACAGTTGTTGGATTTTCTACAGGCAACAGACGAAGAACTCTGTCTACCGAAGCCGGCAGTCTCTGAATAGCCCAAGTCCGGGGGAAACGGAGATGGACCTTCTGGTGACACGGGAGCGACCCCGGCGTGGAATTCGTAACAGCGGATATGATGTAAGTCTCTGTTGGGCCAAGCTTTTCTTTCCCTGAATGCAAAAGGGATAGAGTATCCCATATGTTTCAGTTTAGTGTATAGCCGTGGAATTTAAAAATGCAGTAAAATCTTTTCTGTTTTATTATTTCTTATTACCTATTTGCGAAGTAAGACTATGTGGAATGGCCAGAGTAGGAATGATTGGTACAAGGGTCTCGATTTCCAAATGCAGTCATTTAGAAATAGTTCAGTATTGGCCTTAAACTCAGAGATTCTACACTCTGTTCTTTCCCCCTCTGTTCTTAGAAACTTAGTATGAACCATGGCCGTGGGTTAGGACTCATTTGAGGACAGGCTGCTTTTCATCCATAGCAAGGCTGAGGAGTTGGATTTGTTGGTTGCATAACTTCTCAGTTTGCCATGGACACGGTGAGGTGTCAACAGGGAGATTGGGTGATTTCATGTGATGAAGTACATGTGATGTGCAGTGATATCTCCAGACTGCAAAAATTCTGCTAATCCCATCAAACTTCCCCAGACGATCAGTTATGATTTGGTGCCTCCTATCGCATTGTGCATCCTGTCGCATGTCACTGCACCCGTTGAGTTGCGCTCACATGAACGATACCCTGCTGAGATATTCAGTAAGCTTCACCCAGCCCTGGAATGTCAAATGGTCTCGAATATATTCTTAGGTCTTATGAAAAGTGTTTCTTTCCCATTCTTCTAAAATGTTTCTCTTACTACAAATAAAAAGTTTTCTGTAATAGAGCTATGATTGAAATATGTCTGGATAAAGCTTTGTCATAATTTGTGAGGTTGTCATTTGAAAATGACACTTGATTTCTTAAACATACCATACTAATTTAATGGCAAGAATATTCCCTCCCCCCCCCCACCCCCTCAGGATTGGTCATTGTTTTCTACAGTAGCTAAAAATGGAGTTCTTTAATGGTCCAATTAAAATCAGAGATAGCCTACCTAATTTGAATTTCTAATTACCTCCCTTATATTTAAACTTGATGTTTGTGTTGGTGGTGATATCCTTCTCTCTTATTTCTTTTTCCTTTTTTAATATAAGACAGTTTGATAGTTTCGTTTTATAAAATTCTAGATGCTTTGGGCAAATCATGTTTCCCCTCCAGATTAAAGTATTCAATATTAATTTTTCTCCTCGTAAAAGTATTTCTTGTACTAAACTCAGTCATCAATTGAATAATCAGCCTGTGGTTGAATGTTGGGCATTGGACTTTTCCTGTTCATCTCTCCCTACCGACAGTGCATGTTCTTTCTGGCTGCTTGTAGCTGGGGGAGCTTTTTCTTCTGCTAGGCCCTAGGGCTTCTCTGAGGTACGACAAGATTCTTAAGTTATCTCAGGTTTAGTATTTATAGGTTTCTTGTGAGATTCGAGGCACATACATTTTACTATTTGAGGAAATAGGCCAGAGGTTTCCGTATTTTGAAAAGAGAACATTGCAGATTTTTTTAACCGCTGTGCCAAGAGCGAGTACTCACTTTTGGCATGTCTTGTTAGTAAATTACCTGGAAGGAGAGAGACGATTTTTAAAAGGAGGTTGCTCACCCCTCACAAACATATATAAATATCCCAATCATCGATTACATTAGGAAGGCACTAATAGATTTTTTAAAAATATACATTTCTTTGCAGTGTGCATATGATCTCAGAAATAATAAGCAAATACGTTTCCTTAAGAGAAAATGATCATCTAGGGAACGATTTTTAAGAATATAGACTGTTGACTATGAGAATGAAATTGCTTCTTATATCTCCTCCTGTGTTTTTTATTCTAATCATATGAAAAGTAGCTATCATTTACTGACTGCACCCTGTAGATCAGGCCCTATTTCAGTCTTTCCATGTGTGTTGTCTAATTGAAACTGAAAAGTCAATAGTCAGTTAGGTACTCTCATTATGCCCATTGTCCAGATGGGAAAACCAAGGCACAGAGCAGCCACATAATTTGTCTGCCCACCTCCAAAGCCCATTTCCTTAATCACCATGCACTATGACTTCTATCTACACCCACCCTACTAAACATCTGTCCTCACCTAAATATAGAACATAATAGATATTCTGTATTTCTGAATCTCTCGAAGAGGCTCAATGTCAAGTCTCCCAAGAATTCTTGCATGGATAATTCACACAAGCAAAAAACGGACCAGCAGATAAAGTAGAAAAAGAGAAGAGTCATCGTTTTAAACAATGCATTCATTCTCTGAGCTCTTGATTTTTCAAAAATGTCAAGGCACTCCTGGCAAAGGAATCCATTAGCCCAGCAGTGAGCAGGTCATTCAGTTGGAAGCATGTCAGTCTTTCTGCTGGGACTGGGGAACTTGAAGCCGGGCCAGGATTTCCAGTCATTGCTGCCAGATTAGGAAACACCAGGGGGACCTGCTCCTTGACATGGCAGAAACAAAAGCCCTGGGAGATTGATTCCATTGTGAATTTTCCCAAAGTTGACTACTTTAGAGTCCCAACCGAAAAGCCTGCATGTAAAAACAAACAAACAAATACGTGCTCCACAGGCAAATCTTAGCGCCAGGGCTGATGGAGGCCTGGACTGTTCCAGGTTTTTCCACAGGCTCCTCTTCGGGCCTGCACAGGAGAGCCTCTTAGCTCCAAGGGCTTTGGGAATCAGTGTGTTTTGCAATAATTCTGAACCTCCTACTCAAGCTAACAACAAAGGATGTAACACGCTCCTGGAAGTACCTGTGGCTCATTTGGGTAGTAATTTTCTAGGAGGAAGCACCCCCTTTAGAAGAATGCATGATTTTAGAAAGATGTCCAAAGCTGATCATTCCTAGGTGGCCAGACCACATCATCAAATTAAATTGTGGCATTGACATGAATTCCTCCCAGTGCATAAAGTGGGTACAAGCGATCCTGTCAGCCTAATATTTAAAAGCAAAAAAGAAATCTGTATTTCAAAATGTTTTTTAAATGTTCTTTTCCAAATGAAAGTCATAGAAAACAATGAAGCAGTGAGGAAAAGAAAATGGCCCAAATGTGAATTCTGGGGCAGAATAAAAACCCAAGTGATTATTCCCCCATCGGCCGAATTAATAACCTCTGCCTGTGGCTGATGAATCAGACTTTGCTTCCAGAGGGCAAGTAATTAATTCGATCGTTCCCCAGAAATAAAAACCAACCCGGACCTGTGTTTGGAGTTTAAAAATCTATGACAGGAATGGGGTCAGCTATGTGCCTTGGCTGTGAAGGAGACCGAATGGATTGTCTGACTTACGGCTTCGCAAATGAACGCTGACGTCCCAGACGAGACGCCTTTGCAAGCTCCTGCCCTTCGGTTTCTCTGGGCACCTTGTCCAAGGTCCCACGCCCTGCAGGCACTCAGAGAGCACTCGAGGCAGAATGGCGGGCTCAGACCCTAAAATGTGGGCAGTGGGTTGAGAACATTAAGAAGGATGATGGGTGCATCCATGCACCTCAGAAGGGAGATCGAAGGCTCTGCCACGGCAACCAGTCATTGGTTCTCATCCCAGAGGCGTCCTTTCAGGGAAATGGTTTGAAATGTTCGGGAACACCAGCTGCTTTTCCATCTGAAAAGGTGATGTTAATCTACACAAAAAGGGGTGCTACACCAGAGAAGGTTCAGCTGCAGAAAACATGAAGCCATTTAAATAGACAAAACGTGACTATGAGGAAGTGGGTGCTCCTCAAGTCTTCGGAGGACTGGAGCAATGTTCCAGAACATTCCTGAGGAGGGGCCGCTGCCTCTGCCCGAAGCAGGAAGATGGGGAAGCGGCTGCCCTGGGTCTGACGAGGAGCAGAAAGATGGGCGCTGCCTCATGTCCTCAGCCCAGACTGCACACTAGTGCACGTGATTACCAGAAGCTGACGTTTCAGCCACGGCCACCGCCTCATGGAGGGCCTGACGGGCACGTAGCTTAACCGTCAGCCTCCGCACTACAGGAGTGCACGCTGCAGAGGTTCCAAATGCCCGTCCACTGTCCCCAGCACGCACCATGTGAAGGGGAGATGAGGCCGCATTGGGAAGCAGTTGGGGGAATCGGTGGAGGAAAGCAAAGGGGGAGGTGGGAGCATCGCTCAGCGCTCAGGCCCCAGCCGCCTGCCGAAGCCCGGGTGCATTGTGCTGTGTGTGATGGGGTGTTTGTCTTGCTGGCCTCTCTGGGCTGACAGTGCAGCCGGTTCCCCTTTGATCCAGGTGAGCAGGTGGAAGGAGGCCAAGGAATCGGAACAGTTGTTTTGATGGGTTCCATTTGCAAGGGGATGAAATATGATCTGGAAAGTTCCTCCCCCCACCCCCACCCCCTCCTGCAATAGCCTATAGCAAGTCTGGGGCCTTCTAGATACATTTGTAAATCCCATTATTAACAGGACTCTCTCCTGCTCGCCCACTCCCACCCTCCCCCAGCATCTTACCGCTTCGGCATGACGGTCGGAGGCCAGGGCAAAGCACAGGAATGTCCTGGCAGCTCATGGTGTTCCCAGTACAGGTACAATCAACTTCTAGTTTCATTGAGAGGCAAATGGTTGGATTTGGAGGCTTTGTCCTTCACCACAACCTGCTGCCGCCCTAAGAACTAGGTGCTCTTGTGTTGACCCCACTCCCCCCACTGTGACGACACCCCCTCATCATCCCACCTAGAACTGTGTTACATGTGTCTCCCATCTCAGCCTTCAATTTCTTTATCCTACCTCTGCCAGCTGGTTCAGCTATTAATAGCCCTGGCTTCATCTGTTATCTTAAGTTAATTTATAGTACATTGTATTTTTTAACAGAGGCTTTTAATCCAAAGGAAATGCATGATCATCGGAAATCAGGGTCCCTCACTGAGCCTGAGGCAGAGGTGGAGGTGTTTGGTGGTGAAGGGAGCCTTTGGGTGTAGGCAGTATCTCACCTGGCTGGTGGCTGCCCAGAAAGACACTTGTTAACCCTGCAAAGATGGCAAGTCGGGGGGAGGAGCAGGAGGCAGGTTTAGGAGGGAGCAGGCCAGGTTTCAGGATGGCCCAGTGGCC